CAAGATTGTGCGTGGTGCAATGTCATCGAATCGTTCATGCCCTGTCGTCGAGTCGAACACGATCCTTCCCTGTCCTCTAGTGGAACAAGATTGTGGGCGGTGCAATGTCATCGAATCGTTCATGATTGTGTGCAGTGCTATGGACCTCGTGCGTCGTGTCCTGGAAGATCGTGCATGGGTTGCGTGCGTGGAATTGTGGCGTGGATTGCGCACATAGATGTTGTGCATTGTGTTGTCGTGCGGCCTGGTTTGTTTCTATTGTTGGGGGGAGCGGGGTGAATAGTTCTATGCTGCTGTTAATTGTTCTATTGCTGCTGTTGACCGTTGCCCTTGTGCAATGCAGGGCGTCTTTTCTTCACTGTTGCTATGGAGATCTCTAATATGACCCCAACACTTTGGCGTGCACGCAAGGTACACCCTTTCCCACCTTGCGCGCTGTACGTCCGGCAATGTCAGGGCGGCGGAACCTATGAAGGCGCTTGTCCAAAAGACTTCGAATGCGACCCTTGGATGAGAATCCTCCCGTTTGGCGACAAACATTCGGACTCGTGGGAGGAGTGCGAGTGGGTGAACATGACGGAGAGATGCCCGTGGGCGTGCGATTATGAGTTCGCGAATATGTCCGAATTCGGCAAACGCATTTCCGTGTGATTCGATGTGCTGCGTCCCGTGCGTTTGCCGCTACTGTGTAAAAAGTTAAAAATAAGCCGTGTTGTGGGGGTTTTGGACTGCGAATACGTGACAACCTCGCCTCGCACCTGGTGCCGTGTTATGAAACATGAGTTACTCGATTGTGTGCGACATTCTCCATTCCTCGATCATTATCCGTTGCGATCTTCCGGTCTGTCGCCAGGAGCAGTTTCGTATTGTTGTGTGAGATTGCGTCTGACATACTTTATCTTCTGTAGGGTCCTCTGTATTGCCGTTTCGAGCAAGGCAAGAAACTTGACCGATGTTGTCGTGTATGTATCAAGGAACGAGTTGTCTATGTCCGGGAGGGATATGTGTTTAGTTCAAAGAAGGGTAGGTGAGAGACTGGATATCGTGGTGGGTGGCCAGGTGGTGGACGTTGTCACATGGCGCGAGGTCGAGGCTAAAGTCGTTTCAATTCGGGATGCTATAGGCGCTTCTCACGTCGGGAACTTCGGGTTCGTGCGAATGACATACATTTCGGTGTTTGCTGAGACGGCGCAGCAGCTGACCTTCGGATCGCCAATTAGCGTGTTGAATGGCCGCAACGGCGAGATTGTTCCCCGTAGTCGGTAGATAGCCTTCGTCATACTGAATGGCCAAAACGGCATACTGAATGGCCGCAATGGCCGCAACGGCGAGATTGTTCCCCGTAGTCGATGGATAGCCTCGTGGAGTTCGCATTGCGATTGTTGTTCTCAATGTGTTATTTCGATAACAATACGCGGTATCTGCTAGTTGTTCTCGTCATGCGTTTAGTGGCCAAAGTACACACGTTCGACGTTGTTGTCCTCATATTGTTTTTCGATTCATTGAAACCCGGGAATGATGACACGTGTTTTTGGTTTGGCTTTGGACACCGACACATCGCTGCCAGCCGAGTGTTTGATTGTTGTTCTCATATTGTGTTTCCTTTCGGGAAAAAAAACCTCGTTGTTCTGATGTTTTGCGTGCACAAACATTCAGCAGTCATTGTTTCTCCGTGTTAAACAGTGTCTGCGATCTGTTGTCTTGTTTTCTCGTGATCAAGTGCCCCTCTAGGCACCGTCCGCCGACCATTGTGTCGAAGACGACAAACGTCACACAGCACACCCCAGTGTCGCTGTCGTGTTCGACACGATGGCCGCCAGACGGTGCCCGAAGGGGCACTTGATCGACTGTCGAACGGCAGGCAACAGTATCGCTGTCGTGTCGAACACGACGGTTAACTCCCCTTCAGGCACTGTTTGGCGACCATCGTCTCGAACACGACAGCGACACTGTTATCTGGCGACCAGACGGTGCATGAAGGGCCGCTTGGTCGACTGTCGCACGGCAGACAACAATGTAGCTGTCGTGTCCAACACAACGGTTGGTCAGCCCGTGCAGTGCCATCGGGTTCGACACGACAGTGACACGACGACACCGCAATGTCGCTCTCGTGTCGAATTCAGCAGTACTGGAGGACGTCGTGGCACGGCCGTCGAGTTCGACATGACAGTGAAACGACGACGAGCTGGCGGGCTGCGGCCCGCTTCGTTGCTCTGTGTTCCTGTCTATTCTTGTTCTCAAGTGTTGTGGTGTTTGCACGTTGGCAAAGCAATGACTGCTTTCTCGCTTGTGCGTTTTCTTCAGTTGGGACTAGCTGCTCGGCATGGATCGGGACGGGAAGCCAAGCAAACGACGTACTAGTACCGGTTCCGGGAGCATGGAGCAATCTTCAAAAAAACTGAAGGGGACACCGACGGCTGGCGAGGGGGCTGGCGACACACCGGGGTCTAAGGGCCACCGAACCCAGGTGTTGAAGGGTGCACCTTCTACGGGCACTCCTTCCGCCCATGTTCAAAGTTCGGGACCGGATTCGGCTGTGTTGATGAGTGGTGGGGCTGCGGGTCGAGAAGAGGAGGCTACTGGTCGGCAGGGGAAATCTGCGATGGACATTGTGCTCAGGCGTAAAAGGTCTGGTGACACGTCCGTTGCAGGTGTGGGAGACGAGGTGCCTGTCGTCGACCACAAAGGCAAGTGTTGGATGTTGGACTGGGTGGGTGGAATCGGGGAATGCTCGGGTGGGCTGGTTTTGTACGTGGTGATCAAAGATAACATTGTTCAGATTGGCGGTGTGGTTAAGTGGAGTGGAGAAAAATCACTGTTTGCCATGTTGGAGTTTACGATGGTCCTTAACGCTAGAGGTGAGCGGATAGCGGATGTCAAACGCGTTGCTCTTCGTTGGGCCAAACACGCTGGGTACGACACGAGGCTTTATGATATTTTCAATCCGCCCGGGACGGAGAAATTGACGTTGTCGGACCTTCGATCGGTTTTCGCATTCTTCGACAGACATGTGGTCGCAGGGCATGAGCCGGTGGTGCATGCTTCCGACCGCATATCTGAACCGAAAAGCGTGCTTTCGTCGTCTTTGGAGGCGGCTCCGTCGTCGAAATCGATCATTATAGGTGCCCGCCCTCCGCCATCACTTCGGACTACGGTTGCTGCAACACGAGTTCCGAAATCTGGGCAGATCGGGGAGAAAGGTCCGTTTCGCGGCCAAATCGTGTCGTCAGCCCCTGTGAAGCGGAGACCAACATCAACCAAGGAACCCGTTTCCTTGGTCCGCCCGCCGCGCTATGAGTTGGCCATTCCTGCTGGGCCACAATATTTTGGAGATGACGACGAGGAGAACAACGTAGAAGAATGAGAGCGCGATGAAGAACGCGAGGAATATGAGGAGGGTGGCGGAGAAGAGGAAGTAGAGAGTGAGCACACAATCAGCGAGAGGGGTAGGCCGGGCGAGTTGGAGGGTCGTCCAGGGGTTGAGTATGAGGATGAAGGGCAAGAAGAGGAAACGACCAGCGAGGGAGGGTATGCAGATGTGCATCGGGGTTCCAAACGAACGCAGCTGCTCGCGCCGGGTCATGGGCATTGGGAAGCAGATCCAGGGCGCGGGGAAATGCACCGCAAAGTTGGGGTCGAGCCGGTGCATGCCGATGCAGTCCGACTAGCTGAGAAGAAAAGGAAGATGAGGCAAGAGATGAGAAGTGCTATGGACAGTAAGAAAACCAAGCAGGAGGGGGAAGCCAAGCAAGAGGAGGGCAAACGCAAGTTGAAAATGCTGGCAGTTGGCCGTCCAACGTACACGGGAGGTTGGGGAGGCCATGAAGAAAAAACGGCAGCCAAGGAAAAAAGTAGCGAAGGGAGGTGTGATGAAAAAACTTCCGTTTTTCCACCGGACCAGCCACAGTCGGATGAAGACGTTGTGGGCAAGACAGTCACCAGACCGCCCGGTTTGCAGATTCTGCCGCCTGGGAATTCTTCTGGTCATCTGAGCAAAGGCTTCTTCCTTGAGTTCGACGAGAATGGTAAATAGAGGCCGGAAATGCAGTTCATTTCTGTCAAGTTGGACAGGATTCTGGATATCCCTGATGAGGAATTTAGATATAATCAACGCTTCCTCGATCAGGAGTTTATTGATGACCTTTACAAAACAATGGTTGAGTCGGGTGAGGAAGCTATCAGAGAGAGAACGACCGGGGCGGCACGGGTGAATGTATGTGCATTGTACGAGAAGCCTGTCCTTTTGTTGATTGGGCTACATGATACAATGCATACTGACGCTTCCGGTACGAATGTGAGGGCGAGAAGAGTGACACCCGGTGAATTCGATCTCCAATCCGTGCGCAAGTACTACTGGTACCCTCTCAGTGGTCAACACAATGTTGCGGCGGCGAGGAAATGTTCTCAAGAACGCCCTGACATCGCCCGTGAGCTTCGTTTGGATTGCTGGACTGCAAGGCCTGTTTACTATCCGGATAGGAGCATGGAGAATTACTGCACCTTGAGCACTTTTCAAAATGCGAAGCACAAATGGAATACTCCTCCGCACCAGATTGCTATCGTTAAGAACATACAAAAGTTGTGGCAAGCAGCCAGTCGTCCAGAAGCTATAGGCGGATCTGCTGCAGACGTCAAAAATAAGGATTACAGAGAGTTTGCGGCGATGGCTCTGCGCGCGACCGGGAGTGATCATTTGGTTATTCTTTCACTTCAGGCTTGGAGCAAGGAGTGGTCCGACTTCCTCGGGCCTTACATGGTCTTGGCAAGGGCGACGGACGATGTGTTCGGCAAGGTGCAACAAGTGGACAGTTGTTGGGAAGAGATGGTGTGAAGCCTGCCATCAAACAAGGTGAACCGGGGAAAGCGCCGAGACCTGGCCCCGGATTCGAGTTGGAAAAAAGAGTCAGGGTTCCAGTGCACTTGATTCAGGGTACTACAGGACCTGGTTACCTCGTGGTTGTGCGCGATCCGGATGTCAGATCATGAAAGGCTATGTCTACGTAGGGGAGGCGTGAGAGGCTTCAGTTGTTGCGAGACATTTTCGCGGAAAGTGTCATACTGGCTCCAAGGCTAAGTAAAGTTGCTCACACTGCCGGGAAACATTCGATGGAGACATACGTGGAAATGGTGAAGCAAGAAAGAGCAATGTTGAGAATGTTTCACTACTTCGTCTTCATTTCGGACCCTCATAACAAGCCGTCAGAGTGGAAGCAACCATTCTTCTACAACCTTTCTGATTTGTTCGCTAAGTATTGTGATCAAGGATTGACATCGGAGAGGTGGATCGACCAGCGACGGCATTTCAAAGAAACACGTTGGGTGCGGTCATTTCCGGCTACACTTGGAGGCGAGGGTGAGAAAGGAGAGGAGGGTTTCAAGAAAACAAAATCGCTTGCAAACATATGCCCCGAAGAGTTCATTCAATTTGTCAACAAGTTGTTGCGTAGATCTGAAACTGGGGGTTCGCATAGCATTCGTATGTCGGGACAAGCGATATATATATATATATTTCCAGAAACAGGACGTGACATCTGTATTCGTGCCGTTCCAGTGGGAACCGAGCGATGTTTCAGACGAGATGGATTGCAAGGAGATGTTTAGAGCCGTCTGACACCTGACGTGCCACACAGCCGTCCTGGATTTGTGCCGCCTGACCCAGATGGGTGCGTGGATTGAACAAGTGTTTGATGGACTCAAGAAGTTCATGGACAAACTTCGCGACGATTATTGGACATTGTTGTGCTTCATTCCACGCCCTTGCGAGTTCACATTCTTGAGGCGAGTCGCGATGTGGGACATTCACATGGATCTTCTCAAATGGACTCGTCTACAACAAACAAAGGGGAAAGTGGCATATAAAGTTGCAAACTTGCCTTTGGAGGACACAGACAAAATTGTGGTCATCATGTACTCCAACGACGAGGATTTTCATCGTAACACTATTCCCTTGTTTGAAGATATTAAAGTTGCAGGTCCATTATCTTCCGAGCGGGTGGCTGACATATCGGCACTTGTGCGGAGAGAGAGAAAACCGAAGATGTTGACTAATATCGTGGAGAAGAACTTTCTACCATCAAAGTGGAAAATGGCAGGTATGAATCCACCGGAGAAAGTGGTCTATGATGGTATGGAAAGGGAGCCGAATGCGATGGTGGAGACATTGGAGCATTTTTGTCTTGCGAATGAGGCTGTCGTTTTCCTCGGGAAAGGTCATGTGGGATTGGTTTGGGAGCTGTTAAAGAGTCACCGTCATTGCATTGTGCTGGAAGGGGAGGGTATGAAGTTCGAGTTCCTCACTCAGTTCATTGACAAGATGGTCAAAACTCGAGATTACTACGCCAACTTTACTAAGCCGCCTCCTCGACATGATGAAGGGCGTGATCTCGTCTACAAGGTTGGCTAAAACGTGGTCAATATTTGAGAGTTTCTCTTCGAAACAAAGCCGCAAGACACAGGGGAACATACTTATGTCCTCAGAAGAAGAAAAGTGGAGAAGCTCTTGAGGGGTTATCATGAAGCACCATCGGAGAGGGAGATTTCATTTCTCGACCGCTTGGAGACAATGTACTTCGACCAACAAATCGGGGCATTTACAATCGCAGGTTATGCGACTTGTTTTGTGGATGGTGAGGACTTTGATGCCGACGACTCAGAAGAAGAGAGTGTTGATGGCACTTTGCAAGCGRCTTTGACAGCTGAGAGGCAAAGAGCTTGTAGCCCGGCTTCGCATTCGCAGAGAATGGGTGTTCCAGGCACATCGTCCGGTTCTGGAGGAGCTTCGAGCATAGCGGTTTCAACGGATCAGTTAATGACTCCGCCCTCGACTTCTTCTATTGTTACACCGACTCAGATGGCGGGCAATACGATGACGGTGGCATCAGGAGGCAGTCTGGATCCGACTGTTCTAGCAATGCTCTCCCCAGAGTTGGTGGCAACTCTGGCACCATTTGCACACAGCCCAAGTACTATTATGGAATTGCTACGCTCTCGAACTCCACAACAACCTCCACTTGATGAGCCTTTGGAGTACGAGATTGAAGACACAATCCCTGCAAACATTTGACTGCTTCCGGGGCCTATAGTGTGCCGAGACGATTATACGGTGACGGATGATGCCACATGGGGTCATCACATTATATGGCACCCCCAACATTTCCAACCTGCATTGGCGAGAGGAAGGTGGGTTATGGCTATAAAAGAAGAAGGGGAATGGCAGTTTCGTCTCCATAGACGTATGTCAGGATCGAACTTTCTGAAACATGCCCAAAATCAGATTGCCAAGCGACTCCTGCGACTTAATCCGGAGGTTTCTCAATCAAGACTAGATGTAAGAATTGAAGAAATTTTCAAGAGTTCAAAACATCGCAGTGGCTTAAGTATCTGGAAGAGTTCTATGATAGACAAACCAGCCCGGCTTATGGATATTATTGGCATGTCAGAGAAGACCTTGGGGAGAGGAAAAAATCAAGCGGCGGAGGTGACCATGGCAAGGGATCCGGATCGAGCGGAGGTGCGCATGGCAAAGGATTGCGATCGGGGAGCGGTGCAAGTGACAAGGGTACGGAACCGTATGACGGTGCAAGCGGCAAGGACGCAAGTCGTGGGGAACGGCAACAAACCGAAAAGTCTAAGGGGCGTCAAGCAACAAAAGGCAAGGGATCAACACCAAGCGGCGGTGGGCATGGCAAACCTACAGGACCAAGCGACGGTGGTTCAACTATCGAAGGGTCTCAGGGGCCTCAAGAAACAGAGCGCAAGGGATCAGGATCGAGTGGTGGTTCAACTGTCGAAGGGTCCCACGGTCGAGTCGAACACGACAGTGGCCTCGCATTGGAGCATTCCCGGCTTGACCAAGCAAAGAGTCACACAGTCGAGTCGAACCCGACAGTGAGATCGGAAACGATCGCGGGTGCGACTGGCAAGGCTTTGGGACTATGGGGGGGCAGTACAACTATCGGTGGTGCTTCACCTGTCAAAGAGTCACACGGTTGTGTCGAACACGACACTCGTCTAGCATTCGAGCGCTCGCGGCTTGACCAAGCGAAGAAACTCACTGTTGAGTCGAACCTGACAGTGGGATTGGGATCAATCGCCAGTACAAGTGGCAAGGCTTCGGGACCAATCGATGTTGTTTCACCTGTCGAAGGGTCACACTGTCAAGTCGAACACGACAGGGGTCCACTATTGGAGCGCTCCCAACTTGACCGAGCGGAGAAACTCGTGGTTGAGTCCAATCCGACACAGCAATGGGGATCGATTGCTGGTGCGAGTGCTAAAACTTCAGGACGAAAAGGCGGTGTGAGTTGCAAGGGCGTGAGTACAGCTGACCAAGTTTGGGCGACTACGATACTACTGGGCGATAGTATCGTGATGGAAGTGGATATTACTGGTACACTCACGGAATTGCAGATGTCGTCGTCGACGATGCCAGTCGAAGTAAGC